GATGTTTTGGGCAGTTTTAAGGGGTTGGGTGGCGAAGTAGACAATTCACAGTGTCATCATGCTTTTACATATACACAGACAAGCTTGAAAAATACCAACATAGTAGTTTCTTATAATTGCACTAATTATAACAACAATGCTATCAAACAATTAGTGGTTAAAAAAACTTAACATAGTGACACCTATAAACCACACAGCAACATCTATAACAAAGGAATCACACACAGTCTTTTTCTCGTTAATTTGAAATAAGATTACGCATGTCTTGCTAGAAATGAGAAAAGATTTTGGAGGCTTGCAGGGAAACCTCACAAATGTACCAGTTTTTAATAAAAAGATACATGTCACCCAATACAAATCATCTGCTGTAAGTACAGCGTACATCATTGCACCTCTACAGAGCAGCATAATTGATGACTTAGCATGTAACCAAAGTTTTCAATGGCCGAGGAATGAACTTGGAGAATTTGAGAGTGGGAAGGATTTAGAAAGGCATCCTTTCCTTCAGCAAAACATTGAGAACTTGAACAAATATACAAGTAGTCCAAAACTTCTTCATAGAAGAACCTCAGCCATTTACGTGACATCCTAAAACTTGAGCAGGTGCTCTTACCATGACTCACTCAAGTGATACCTATAGTTATCTCATTCCAATCAATGATAACTTAAAGCAAAAAAGAAAAGAAAAGAAATTAATCAAAGTATTTACTCAGATAAAAAAATCAAGAGAGATAAAAAGATAACTTAAGCAAAGATGTTTAGAAATGTTAATAATTGGTCCAATGAATCTGTGTCGAAGCTCAAGCCTTACTGTTTAATCTTAAATTTTGCGTTGATCTTATCTAAAAGAGATATGAACTAAAGTCAGCTTTCCTATTAGCCAATGATGCTTCTGCATTTTTTTAAGCTTCTTTGCCAAGCACTATGTATTGACAATGAATTCTATAAGCTCTCAAAAACAAAATCCAGACCAAAAGAAACCCTGAAAACGTATGCAATAAGACACATACTATCGTGGTTGTAAACCAACATAGCGTGCATGCACAGTAAATAACCATGTGTTCATAAAGTTATAGCCTCAAAATGCAATCATTAATACTTGATCTCTTAAGGCCATGCCTCAAAGTGATGAAATCACTAGGTGTATAATACACACAGTTAAAGGCCATACCTTCCAACTAACATGTGAACCTTTTACTCTGTCTCGTCACCTAAGTGTTTAAAGCATGTTATCAGACTTGACATAAGAAATTCCTTTACGACCTCTATACTTAACTGCGTACGAAGAGGATTTATAGCTACCTATTATCTATCAAACACAAATAAAATATTTCTCAACTTCATTTCAAATAAGGAATTCATTCATAATTATACTACAAACAGATCGCAGAGCTAATCTCACAGATTATTGAAATTTCTATAAGTCAGTGCTTCAGGAAAAAAAAAATATATAAAAGAAAAGAACTTGAATTCCAAAATTGAATAAACATTTCAAATGAAGCAGGAACAAGAGCATAATAAATAAAAACTGCAGTACCAGCAACATCTTGGCCGTCATAATTGCCTCTATACACAGTCCCATAAGTCCCATAAGAAATAACATGCCTTATATCCAATTTTCCCAAATCAATCTCCCACTCTTCCTTTCTTGTCGGTTGCACTTCCCTATCCCTTGACCAAGCACGGCTTAAATGATTCTCTAGCTGAATATCCCAGCTCTTGAAATCTATTTTATCTGCTCTAAAGTACAGTTCTTTATTGCTCACACTGCTCACTTTTGAGCCCAATCTCTTTTCTTTAGCAGTTGAGGCAGTTTCTGCTTCTTGATGGATATTGCTTTTCTGTCCCTTCATTGCCCCTTCTGCTTCCTTTAAATTGCTCGATTCCATTTTTTTTTCCTTTTAAAATTATAAAGCAGAAAACTTTACTGCTATACAGTTTGTTGAAACTATCAGAACAAGAACATCCTTACCAGTGTAACAAAAAATCATTTAAATCATGGAAATAATTAACAAAAAATTCCTAACCTTTATTTTTGAAATCCCAATTCACAATGATGACATTCGAAAAGGTTCGAAAATTAAAGAAAACTGGAGATTCAAAAAAAATTGACAACTAAATAGAAGAACGAAGCACAGCCCCTAAAAAAGCAAAACAAAAAAAATTATTGCAAAAAAGAGAAGGGGGAGAGAGAGATAAAGAGGGAATTAGACAAGTAGGGTTTTGTGGAGGAGACTTTAAGAAGGGAAGGGAAGGGTCAAAGGAGCCAATCAAAGAATAATTCTCCCGCGCGCGCGTGTGTGTGTGTATTGGAGAGAAAAAAACGAAAGGAAAGGGAAGGATTGATATTTGATAGTGACCAAAAATAGCTTCGTGACTGTTTCAAAAATCAAACACTTTTCAGCTTCTTCTTCTTCTTTGTTGATTACTTTGGCTGTTTTCTTACCTGTTTCTTTTTTTAACGGACTTACTGGTATTTTTAAGGATTTGCTTCGACTTCCATGCTTTTTTTTACTCCAAATTGTATAGCCAATTTGCTATATTTTATCTTTATTTTACTTTTGTTTTTTTTTTCTGTTTTTTATTACCCTTCAACATGTTGGAAGGAGGGAGGCAGGTGAGATGAATATGGTGTTTTATATGCTATCCAAGTTGATAAGCAATATATATATATATATATATATATATATATGAAGGTAACGTAATCTACTAAGATATGCATAACTTGGCACGCGCAGATATGACAGCACGCTGCATCTCATATGAATTTTTTGCGTGTTAGATGCATGACAAAAACAATTTTTGTCAAGCCTGTGTGCCACACGCGACACACAAGAAATTTTGTTTTGCCCATCACCTACTACATGCACCCTTAAGAAAAAAAATCACGTGCCAAGTATTAAAACATTTCTGGTGAGGCCCTTGTGCTGCACCAGAAATTTTTTGTCAGATACGTGCGACACGCGCTAGCACAAAAGGATTTGTGAGTGACAAATGTAGTCTATTCATGTATTACACGCGCTAAGGGAGTATATTTCTGTTATTAAACAATATATTGAAAGTTTTAAAGTTAAGTTTTTTTTATATATATATTTATGAATTTATTTTGTTTATATTTTTTTAATGGTAATATGGGTGTCATTATTATTATTATGAATTTTTTTCTAAGAAATGATAGAATAATCTTCTAAAAACAAAAAAGAAATAGCTATTTTTGCTCAGCTCAAATAAAAAAGTTTTTTTTGAAAAAAAACAAGTGAAATGATAAAAATAATAATAATGGAACTGAATTTAAGTAAATAAAGAAATTTAGGGACCAAAATCATTTTAAATAGAGAAGAAAGAAGAATAAATGGTCAAATTATAATAAAATAATAATATGGAACACGCAGTTGATATCTGCAACTAGCCAAAAGCATTTTTGCAGCTGAATTTTATGAGATCCGACGTAAGGATTGACTTGTATCGGCGAGTAAACAGACAGAGACAGAAAGTCAAAGAAAGATAAAAAAGCAACGGCGTCCTCAACACCACCTGTTGAGCCGTATTTGGAAAAGACACCGTTTCATGCCACTCGTCTCCATCCATGCCTAGTAATATTCCTTGGCTGGCTGGACTGGATGGCATTTATTAGCCTAATATTTCGACTGCATCGCGCTTCCATTATCAGCAAATTGACATCCATTATCAGCAAATTGACATCCATTATCCTCCACCCACTACAAGTTAGAACAGTCTCCTATTTCAAAATAGCAATAGCATTGTTTATTTTTTTATTTATTAATTTAAATATTTAAATTAATTTATATATATCTTAACTAATTTTATACAAATCTTAAAATTAACAATCATATAAATTTTTAATTATTTTAAAAGTTATAAAAATTGAATAGATAAGCTTTAAAATAATATTTTTGACATTTCCAATACAGAGCTATTGAATAAATTTGTGGCGGGGGGGAG